TGGTGGTATTCTGCATTCCGCTGTATAGAGAACTACAAATCCCAGCAATAATACATTATACAGCGCAATGCAGGGTACCACCAGCTATAGAGGAGTACAACAAATCCCAGCAGTAATACATTATACAGTGGTGCAATGCTGAATACCACTAGCTATAGAGGACTACAAAACCTAGCAATAGTACATTATACAGTGCAATGCAGAATACCACCAACTATAATGTACTATTGCTGGGATTTGTTGTATTCCTCTATAGCTGGTGGTATTCTGCATTGTGCTGTATAATGTATAATTGCTGGGTTTTGTATTCCTCTATAGTCGGTGCCATTCTGCATTAATTGCTGTATAATTTTACACTTTTAATTTCACTATATTGCACACCACACTTATTCTTTTTTACTTCCACCGCTCCAAGCTTGCTCCTGTGTTGGACTACAATCTCAATACAAACTAGTAGTTCCATCACTGGAGCCATTTTTTAAAATTTATTTTATTTTTTTATCCAATTAACCGATTAATCGAACTTAATCGATTTTGAAAATAATCGTTAGCTGCAGCTCTAAGATTTATCTAGTTTCTTTCTGAGACTGTTTTGATCAAAGCAGTCCATAATGACATAGAGGAAACAAAATCTATACAGTTATCCAAATTACCAATAAACAAAATAATGAAAAGTCTTGAGGGCTTGTTCACACCATATACAGTGCGTTCCAGCACGGTTAGGTGCTGGAACGCACTGTATCACATACTAAACTCCCCCTGCGTTCTGGGGTGGGAGGGGGCGTGGTGGTGCATTGAAGTCAATGGCACTGCAATACAAGCCCCCTGCCACCCACAGTGCGATCACCTGCACCAGAACACGTGGCACATCAGTGCCTGCATTGCGGTCGAGTGTGATCTGAAAAAATGCTGCATGCACTACTTTTTACGATCGCACAGGACCGGATGTTGTGCCCGTGTTCCAGTGCGGGCGATCCCACTGCTCCCGCTCCAGAACCCAGGGGGGGGTTTACTATATGACACAGTGCATTCCAGCAGGTAACCGCGCTGTCACGCACTGTATATGGTGTGCAATTAAAGTGTCACATAACATTATAAAACTACAGTTGTTGATGAAGTTTGTAAAAGTGCCCATACACTGGTCGAATTTCGGCCGCTTTTTTAATGTACCAGCTGAAATTCACCCAGTGTATGGGGCTGTCAGCTCCCTTCAGTCGGCATTCCTCGATCAGCTGATCGAAGGAGTTGGCTGGAAAATCTCTGTGCGATCAGAACTGTCAGCCAAAATAATGCAAACAGCAGCGATTCTTTAATCGACATGCTGTTTGTGTTTATGGAGGAATTGCGTCAATTTCTTCCGTTAAGCCCGTGGGTTAAACGAAAAAAATTGACTGGTGTATGGCCAGCTTTAGAGGACATTTCTAAACAAAAAACATACTGGGTTATTCACAAAAGGGTGAAGACTTTGGAGAAGGCAGGAGAAGTGAACCATCTAGGACAACATGGCTGAACTGGAAAGTGAGCTGAATTAGATAATTTTTCCAAATCAGCTATGTTGTCCTAGATTGTTCACTTCTCCTGCCTTCTCCAAACTCTTCACCCTTTTTTGAATAGCTCTGATAATGTAAAGCCATGAAGCTATCAAAACACATCTCAGATAATGTTTTAAAATTTATGAAATTAGGGTCGGATAATTTAAAAAAAATAATGATGGGGGAATCTGTTTGTGTTTGATTCAACCAAGGATTCAGCGAATCTGTACAGCAAATCCATAGCATAAAAATAAAATAAACATCTGCTCACCCAAGCTGCTTACTAAATTCAGGTCAGTTGCTGACTGACAGGGTGCCCCTCAAGTGGGTTCGCCAACACAAACAGGTTTGCACCTTTTTCTGTGCTCTGTCAGCAGGTAACCTTTTCACCCAGCAGCATACTCCCACAGCAGAGAGAGAGAGAGAGAGAGAGAGAGTAAGAAAGAGCACTGAGCATTAGTCAGCTCACATATATAAAGACCTGTGGACAATTGGACTAATAATGGCTGCAGGAGCGTACCAAAATCATGAGGCGCCCGGAGGCATGTCTCCCCCAAATAGCGAAATGCTAGAGTCCACTCACAGCTGCAACCACTGTGATCCTGGTAGTTCTGCCACTGTATAAAGGACTACAAATCCCAGCAATACATTATACAGCAATGGAGAATAAGACCTCCAGCTACAGAGAACTACAAATCTCAGCAAAGCGTTATACAGCAATGCCAAACAATACCACCAGCTACAGGGGACTACAAATCTCAGCAATACATTATACAGCAATGCAGAATACCATTATCTATAGAGGACTTCAAATCCCAGCAATACGTTATACAGCTATGCGGAACACCATCATATACAGAGGACTACACAGCCACCTCTGTGTCCACTGATCCCCACTGGCTCTTCCATTGCCACTGTACCCACTTCTCTCACCGCCTCTGTGTCCACTGACTCCCCTCCAGCTCTTCAACTACCACTGAGCCCACTTCTCTCACCACCTCTGTGTCCACTACCCCCCATCCAGCTCTTCTCCTGCCACTGTGCCCACCTCTCTTACCACCTTTGTGTACACTGAACCCCCACCTCTCTCGCCTCCGCCTTCAATTGACTTATCAGGCCAGTGATATTTAGAAACAAAGCTCACCTTTCCTCCTGTATTCCTTCTGCCGCAGCTGCCGAAACTTCG